CCTTATATATATATATATATCCAAAGGGTGTGAATATATTGATCATAGGTATTTTAGTTGTTTCATTGCTAGTAAATGATTCTGTTAAATGTAAGAATTATGATAGGTCGTTACACTTTTATTATATTAGAGTGGTTAAGTTTTTTTGAACACTCTATGAGAATGATCCCATTAAGTTTCTATTATGAGTCTTTGCTCTGAGTTGTGATGTGGTGTAGTTATTGTTAGGACCACAAAGATGATGGTCATAGAAATATAACAACAAAATGTGTATTTTGCTCATGTGAAAAAGAATAAGATTACGATTGAGATAGTCAAACCAATGTTATCACAATAATATTATCTATAACATTTTCTTTTTAACACTTTATACTATTGTTTAAAATTTATTAAAAATGATAAACTTTGGTAGATTTTACTTCAAAATCAAAAGAGATACTCGTTAAATAAGAAATGAAATTTAACAAAATTTGTCATTTAATTTTCAATAAATTTCATCAAATATCAATAAAAATTGTTATAGCTGATTTCCATCCGATTAGTACTTTTATATATAAAGAAATCTTCTTATACATGTTTCACTCGAACCAACCTATCACCCTCTCCTCTTTGGGAATGAGGCCTCTCCAATCGCAAAAAAAAAATTGAAAAATGTCTAATTTAATAATTGTTCCCAACCACCTCTTCGCTGCTCCGAATTCAAGGACCTTGTCGTTGAACGTGATTTCCCAACCTTCATAATCAAAGTTTAAGGTGTGCATATCATGCACAAAAAAAAAAAAAAAAAAGTTAACATTTTCGTCTTCTTCTTTTCCTTAAATGACTTAACCGTTTGATTTTGAAGGAAGTTGAAAATGGTGGAATGCATGATGAGGTTGTGAAATTGGAAGTATGATTATTTTGATTATATAAAGAGTTAATCACTTGTATACTGTCAGTGTAAAGTTTTTTACACGGACAACTAATCAAATCTATTATTAGTGCTTTTTTATTTTAATTTAATAAAATGAGCAAATGACATAGCACTATTAACAAATCTAATTGGTTGCTAGTGTAAAAAAAAACAGTATAAAGGTAATTAACTCTTATATAAAACCAATAAATTGCGACATTCATTGAAAAATGGCAACATTCCAATGCGGTGCACCTTTTAACGAGTAAATGTAAACAAAATTCTTGAAACACTACATGCAATTGACAGAATAGATCAGACACGAGAGATCAAGATCATTGATCAACCACCCCAAGTGGCAAAAATGGGGGGAAATTAAAGAAATTAAAATGTTAAAATCAATCAAATGGATGATCACTGATCCTGAAACATTATTACATAGAAATGCAATTACTTAGAGCTCTCAAAATGGACTTAACCTTATTAGTACGATAAATTAGACAGATTGAGCTGAAAACAATTAGGCTCAAGATTATTTTGACCCGGCTTAACCTGAATTTTACTAGTCCAAAGTAGGTTGGGCCGTGATAGATTGGACCGGCCATGGACCAAATTTATTTTATAATATTATATATATATAAAGATAATAAATTATAAATTTAATATATTATATATTGTTATTTTTTATTTGAAAATCAGCATTTTATGTATATTAAGTTTTATTTTTAATTTTTAACATTTATGTTTTTGTTACAATTAATATACTTTATTTCATTTCTATTATTGTGAATTACACATTATTACTTTATAAGGTAAAAATCACAATATATATTTTCTTCTAAAAAAAAGAATATTTTTTCTTAATTTAGTTTATAGTAATTAAAAAATGTCTTATTCCTATTTTATATAATAGATGGACTTTTTGGTTATTAGAAACTGATAATATTCATTTGATACCTTTAAATGTTAATATACCTTCAAAAACTCAAGCGTATTTGCTTGACATTCTAGATGTTGATATGTCCTTAAATACTCAAATGTACTCATTTAGCACTCTTGAGTGTCGATATGCCCTCGAATACACAAGCATACTCATTCGACACTCTAAGATGTTTATATGCTCTCAAATACTCAAGCGTACTCATTCAGCACCCTTGCATGTCGATATACCTTTGAGTACTCAAGCATATTTGTTTGGCACCTTTGGATGTCGATACACCATTGAATACTTTAGAGTACTCGTTCAACACCTTCGGATACCAATATATCCTCAAATATTCGAGCGTACTTGTTCGATATCCTCCGATGCTAATATGTCCTTAAAGACTCAAGTACGCTCGTTCAGCACCCTCGGGTGTCGATGCATCCTTAAAGACCTAAGTATACCTATTCGACATCCTTAGACGTCGATTCCTTATGTTGCCAAACAAGATGAATGATTATCCATGATATATAAAGGGAATCAAGATGATTAAAGCCTAATAACGATAAGAAGTGGATTACAAATGTATTATCTAATTGATAATCTCAATTTAAGGTTCATTGAACCCTTGGTCCAACACAGTTAATATAAATAATATTATATATCAAGATAAAATTATTGTTCACAATATATTTGCATTTATTACACTAAGTGAATTATTTACTTAAGTACTAAAATGTCTTTTATAAGTACATTTTCTTTGACCACGACCATTTAAAGAGTGAAAAATAAAAAAGACATTTGAAAAAAAAATGTAAAGAGTACCTTAAGACAAGTACATTTTATAAAATTAATTTATTTTAATAATTTTCTATTTTAAAGATTAATTAGTCTATTTAGGCTGTCAGAAAATTTTTAGCACAATGTCAAATTAATGTATTAATTTGTGATAACTAGCCCGAATGAGCGCGATGGAGTAAAATCGACAACTCTAAGGATGAATCTTCCTCGAGTAGCATTATTAGAGGGAAAAATCAGTAAAATAAAAAATAAAAGGTGAGGACGTTCAAGGTGATGTTGATTAAATTAGACACACTCAAATTGAGAGGAATCGTTTCCGTTAGGAGTGTAGAACTAACTAGATAACTGATAACCTCTGCATTTGCGCAGAGACGAAGCATGTCTCTGAGCTTCATCCACCATAAACCCCTTTCTTCTTCTTCTTGCATCTTCTACCTTCACTCTTTCACTTCACCCCTCACTCACACTCTTT